AATATTTCCAGTAGTTATCTTTCTAAAAACTCTTTAATTTGATACCCATATTGTAACAATATACTTATTTTATCAATATAATTGGGTTTAAAAATTTTCAAATAGGTGGCAACCCTCGTCAAAAATATTTCCAGTAGTTATCTTTCTAAAAACTCTTTAATTTGATACCCATATTGTAACAATATACTTATTTTATCAATATAATTGGGTTTAAAAATTTTCAAATAGGTGGCAACCCTCGTCAAAAATATTTCCAGTAGTTATCTTTCTAAAAACTCTTTAATTTGATACCCATATTGTAACAATATACTTATTTTATCAATATAATTGGGTTTAAAAATTTTCAAATAGGTGGCAACCCTCGTCAAAAATATTTCCAGTAGTTATCTTTCTAAAAACTCTTTAATTTGATACCCATATTGTAACAATATACTTATTTTATCAATATAATTGGGTTTAAAAATTTTCAAATAGGTGGCAACCCTCCAACTTNTATCTTTCTAAAAACTCTTTAATTTGATACCCATATTGTAACAATATACTTATTTTATCAATATAATTGGGTTTAAAAATTTTCAAATAGGTGGCAACCCTCCAACTTTTTACGATATCGTTGGTTCTGGTATTATACCGAACAATACAAAAAAAAAATTATTCAAATCGGTTCAGCCGTTCTCGAGTTTTGACGACCGTGACATACGAACACAACATTTTTATTAATATAGATAGAAGAAGAAGAAGATATCCATACGGTTCTCGGAAACGGCTCTAACGATTTTGATGAAATTTTGTGCACAGATAATGTTTTGGATTTCAAAATTATCTTTATAGGCATAATCTCCGAGAAGACTCGTATAAGGTTGCCACCTATTCGAAATTAGTTACAATTAATTAAAAAATCATAATATGGGTATCAAATGGAAGGTATTTTAAAGATCCCTAATTCAAAAATATTATTAAGAGGGTTGCCACCTATTTTGAATCGCAAGTTTATTTTAAATGTTGTTTAGAAAAAAAGTAAAATATTACTATTCATGGGTACCAAGAGAAGCTTCTTAAACAATGCTTTCCCTATATACAAAATGTTATCCCTTAGGATAATAGTTTAAGGTTGCCAGTTATTTTCTATTCTTCACAATTTATCTAAGACATCGCAATATGGATATCAAATGAAAGGTATTGTTTAGAACTTTGGTCAGAAAATATTTTCGATCAAGGTTGCAACGCTTCTGTGTAATACAAATTTGTATTTTGTTAATTTCAATCAGCATTTTTTGTAAGTATACACAGCACATATACGCTTAAGACTTGTACTATGGATTCCAACGTATTTCGGAATGGGGTTTCCACCTAAATTTTAGAGTAAGAGATTTACTTACTAGATATCGAAATCCATTTTTTACAATTCTAAAATATTTTTTTAAAGCTATCCAAATCTTGAAAACTTTAAAAAGTATATGCACTCCGGGCAAAGCTCGGTCAAACTGGTACTGTATGTTATTTTAGGTGATTAACGCTTATATCGTATAGTGAATTAACTATACCTAAGGTTTTTATATGCGATTTAGTAGGAATGATAAAATAATATTGAAATTTAAGATTTTATTTTTTTGTTGTGTGAATATTTATACACAGATTTTTCTTTAAGCCAAGTGGCTACTTTAACAGTATATGAAAACATGATAATTTAAGTTTTGGTTTTATACATTAAATTTAGATTAAGTATTTTTAAATGTTTGAAAATTGGAACTTTTACATATATTCGTGCTTTTGAATTTGGAACACAGTAATGTGCAGATTTTGATAATTAATTTTATATGATATAAGTATTAAAATTTTAGCTTTGATTAGTGTGGCAACCCAGTCCAAAGAACACTGACAGCGATGGGGTGGCAACCCATGCCAAAGAACACTGACAGCAATGAGGCATAGAGAGAGAAATGACATTTTGATATTCAGTATGTATTCGATGCGCTGCGATTGTAGCACGTGCTAAGTGAACAATAAAGTGTAAATTCAGATTCTAAAAGTGTGTACTCATTTGACGGGTATTACAGTGGCGACGAGTAAAATAACTACAAAATAAATTAACATAAGAATATACAAAAAGAAAAAGCAAGAAAACAACAGACAAAATAGTGGTGTAAACATTTTGCGTGCTAAATTGCCGGTGTTGTGCAGTAGCGACAGGTGTTCGCACATACGAACATATGTATGTATATGTGTGGTCGTTGAGCTGGCCTCGTGAAATGAACATTTAAAGGAAAAAAAAGAAGAACGGAAAGTTTGGTGGAAAAATATCTAACAGACAGAGAATGCACAGCGAATGTGAGGGGGAAAGTGTCAAATCGCTGATGGTAAATTCAGCGCACTGGCTGCATAGAAAGCCAGAAAATCAAAGACGAAAAACAATAACATGACATTTTAAAAGCTTGTAAACAAAAATGTTAATTGTTTCTGTTGTTAATTACTCATTTGCGATTTGGTGCTCCACTGTTTCCCACTATTCGTGTGTATCAAAATATTAACTAAAAGAGTTAATAGCGATCATCTGACAAAGGTCAGAAGCTGCGCATAAGGGGCGAGCTGAAAAACATTTATCTGACAAATGTCAGGGGCCGTGTATGTAATACAAGCCGATTATCTGACAAAGGTCAGAAGCAACGCATAAACGCGGGCTGGAAATTTTTTTNAAAACAAGCCGGAAACTGTTGCATACGCACTATTTACCAGGGTTAGTTTATTGACAAAGGTCAAAATATGATGTGTTGGTAATGGGGAATAGATGCAACCGTATGTGTTTAATTACATGCATAGTTTATGCATGCCTGGGAAATTATTTATATGTACATATATATAACTTTTTTTTCTGTTTCAATTTGTTTATATTCCAGACTACACGTACATCATGACAGAGCACACCATTAGGCCATTTCTTTGCGAAACTATTGAAAAGTCAGTATTGCGCATTGAATGGGAGAAATGGTTACGCGCGTTTGAGATCTATTTGGAATCGGAAGACATCAAGTCAGTGAAACAAAAGAAAAATAAGCTTTTACATTTAGCTGGTATCCAATTACAAACCGTAGCGTACTCCCTGCCAGGGGCTATTGAAGAATATGATGAAAAAGTCGGAAACGATGTTTATAAAGTTTTAGTTGACAAGCTCAATGCTTATTTTTCCCCTAAGCAAAACTCCACCTTTGAGAGGCATTTATTTAGAACCCTTTGCCCCACCGAGGGGGAAACTTTTGCTAAATTTGTTTTAAGGTTGCGTCAGCAGATGAACAAATGTTCGTTTGGTTCCACAAAAGTCGAGATTGAAGAAATTTGCCTAAAAGAGAAAATCATCGACGTCTGGGCGTCGACAGAACTGAAGAAGAAACTTCTAGAAAAGGAACTAACCCTGGATGAAGTCATCGGGGCATGCCAGGTGGATGAACAAATTAGTAAACAGTCAGAATCCATGAAGTCGGACTCAAACGCAACTAATGCAGTTAACAAAATTAAATATCAGTCACGGGTCCCGACTACCCAAGCTAATGAATGTGGTAGATGTGGCAAAAAGGGCCATAACGACAATAGCCCATCTTGCTTAGCCAAATCAAAGAAATGTAATAAATGTGGTCGTATAGGCCATTTTGCTAGAAAGTGTCGGACTAGTTTGAAGCGGCAATTGGTACAATCTAAAAACGTTAACCCCAAACGTCGGTATAGTAACATTCGATTGGTCAACGATGATCCAGAGGAGCATAATTCGGAAAGTAATTGTTTTAAAATATTGAGCGGAGACGAAGAAGAGACAATACAGGGAAAGATCGGCGGCCAGGCAATTTCTTTAATAATCGACTCTGGGTCGCGTTTTAACCTGATAAGTCAAGCCGACTGGTTGTATTTACAACGGAAAAAGGCTACTATTTTTAACGTTCGCCCAAATTCGCATACTCAATTCAGGAGTTACGCCTCTGACCAATTACTTAAGGTAATTTGTGTTTTTGAGGCTCCGATATCTGTCAAGGCAAATCCCGAAGTGATTGCCACATTTTTTGTTATTGAAAATGGGAAACAATCATTGCTTGGTAAGGAAACCGCGATTATATTGAATGTTTTACAACTCGGGTCCAACGTAAATCACATTGAGCCCTTAAAACCGTTTCCGAAATGGAAAGGGGTAGTAATTAAATTGTCTATTAACCCGGAAGTGAAACCGGTACAACAACCCATGAGGCGAATCCCGGTTGCTTTAGAAGAAAAAGTATTAACTAAACTTGAGGAAGCTCTAAGCCAGGATGTTATTGAACCGGTGATTGGCCACAGTCCGTGGATATCACCGATGGTATTGGCGTTNGGCTATGCCAGCCAACAGAGACGCGGTGTTTGGACTATGAGGGTGAACACAACATTCTGCGAGTGATTGAAAATGCTGTGCCAATTTCGATGGCCATCTCAGAAGTGGCAGAATATAGCTCACAAGATGAGGAGATCGTTGATGCGATGTCGTGTATGAGTAATGATTCTTGGGAAAGGGCAATTACAAACAGGTTGTATCCTTTTCGATTTGAGCTTTCTACAGTAGGAAGTATTCTCCTGAGGGCAACGCGCATAATTATTCCGTCCGCGTTACGACAAAAAGTCCTTGAATTGGCACATGAGGGCCACCCAGGGGAATCTGTTATGAAGCGTCGGGTGAGATCAAAAGTCTGGTGGCCACTGGTAGATCGCGAAGTCGAAAAATTTGTAAAGAATTGTCGGGACTGCATTTTGGTGTCGAAAGAATCAAATCCAGCTCCGATGGATAGGACTCCATTTCCCACGTCACCGTGGACTTGTGTGGCTACAGATCTTCTAGGCCCCTTGCCAAATAATGAATATATACTTGTCTTGATAGATTATTACTCGAAGTACATGGACCAACCATTATCGATTCAATGAAAGAAATTTTTAGTAGACTTGGGTTCCCTAAATACTTACGGACCGACAATGGTAGGCAATACGTAAGCATGGAGTTTCAGCAATATTGTCAAGCGTGTGGTATACAGCAAATTCAAACACCTCCATATTGGCCCCAGGCCAATGGAGAGGTAGAAAACATGAATAAAAATCTAGATAAACGATTGAAAATCGCCCAGCTCGATAAGAAAAATTACAAAGAAGCAATACAAAACTTCATGCTTATGTATAACGTGACTCCACATGGCAGCACAGGCACAGCTCCATCCGAATTAATGTTCGGGCGCGTAATTCGTGATAAAATACCTAGCATTCAGGATTTAGTCGGGGAGTTTTCGGATTCGGTGGAAAAGGATAGGGACTGTGTGAGTAAACATAAAGGGAAAGTGGCAGCTGATAGGAAGAGAGGGGCGAAGGAAGTAGACATAGAAGTGGGGGACAAAGTTTATCTGAAGAATGTCGTGTTTCCACACAAACTCACTCCTAATTTTGACACCACAGAATATGAGGTCATGGAAAGGAAGGGAAATATCGTTAAGGTAGTTGGAGGGGGTCGAGCTCTGATGAGGAACGTAGCTCATTTAAAGAAAATACCAGCCGGCACGGGGGCCGATCCACATAATACTCATTCAGCATCTCAATCGGTGGCCGCGCCACTGCCATCTGTTTCATCCACAGGTACGACGCGGGATGACCGACAACCCCCACTCCGGCTCAAGTAACTCCAGCTAGTGGTCAAGGGTTGAAACTCAAACTAGTGAACAAAGGAGGGGTGTGGCAACCCAGTCCAAAGAACACTGACAGCGATGGGGTGGCAACCCATGCCAAAGAACACTGACAGCAATGAGGCATAGAGAGAGAAATGACATTTTGATATTCAGTATGTATTCGATGCGCTGCGATTGTAGCACGTGCTAAGTGAACAATAAAGTGTAAATTCAGATTCTAAAAGTGTGTACTCATTTGACGGGTATTACAATTAGTAATATAAAATTGAATGAAATGAAAATTTTTAAAATTGATAAGATCTCGCCGTTTAGGTAACTTTTTGGGTTCTGTTTTTGTGAACAGTTCTTAATTTGTTTTTGTCTTATTACGTTCACACCGTCTACTTCCGTCACTACGTATGTCACGGGGCTTCTTTTGAAGTGAAACCATATCATTTTTGTTTACGAGTAAAGGACGTGCATGTGTGTCGTAAGTTTGTTTTCTTCGGATTTTATGTTTGTTAATCAACTCTGTAGCTAACGCCTGCGATTTTTGCATACGATATTTTACTTCCTTAGCATAATTTTCAACGTTATAGATTGGGTATATTTCAATCTTTTGCAATTCATGTGGTAAAATGGCCTTTTTACCAAAAAGTAATTCAAAAGGGGTAAATTTATTATCAAAAACTGTGCAGCATATGTTTCGTTCATATATGCGCGCAAGTACTCGTTGAAAACTCTATGGTTCCATTCTATTGTGCCAACAGTTTCGTGGTGGTGTGCTGTTAAAAAATCGTGCTTAGTATTTAAAAGTTTGGTCAGCTCCGATAAAATTTCGTTTTTAAATTCCGTTCCTAAGTGTGATTTAATTGAATTCATGACGCCATAAGTTAATATAAAGGTTTCAAAGATAGCAGAAGCAATAGTTTTAGCAGATTTATCTGGTATAGCTACTGTTACCAGATATTTTGTTAGATCACAAATCATAGTAACAGCGAACTTGTTGCCATATTTGGATTCTGGTAAAGGTCCTATCGCGTCTATCACTAGTATATCAAATGATTTAATAGGGGTTGGAGTTAGAATTAAATTTTCTTTTATTTTGGGTTTGACTTTATTCAAAAGACACTTATCGCAGTTTTTGACAAATTTCGCAATGTCACGGGTCATGTGTTGCGAATAATATTTTGTTCGAATTTTCACGTACAAGTTTTTCATTCCGCAGTGTCCGCCTGCGATCGGGTCGTCGTGGTAAATTGTCATTAGTTTTAATTTTTTGTCGTCATCAGTGATAGTTTCTACGGTATCTGTTAGTATAATTTGTAAAGACTTTACAATTTTTTTCCGCTGGTTTTAACGTTTGTAATAGAAAAATGTTTAAAAAATACATCATCTTTAGGCCATTCAATGCTTTAAATGTTGTGATTGCTGGCTTCTCGTTCTAGCCTCGAAAATAAATCCTCCAAATTCATTATTTCGTTAGCAGTCTCAACATTAATTAACTCGAGTTTCTTATGTTTTATATGCGCATAATTTTTTAAAGTAGAAATTTTATTATTATTATCATAAAATATTAGTAATCTAATACGCGGGACCTTTTTTGAAAAATTGTATGCAAATTTGTCATAAACTTTTACTGTCTGAGTTGAGTTGTCTGTATAATCTTAATTGATTTAAAGGCGCTGCCAGAGACGCAAACTTTGGTATAAACCGTCTGTAATGATTAGCAAATGCGACGAATGGTCTACCCGCGTCATTGTCAGTCGGTTTTGTATATTTTTTAACTGCATTTATTTTGGTGTCATCTGACAACAGACCTTTGGCTGAACATTTATGGCCTTAAGCTGGGATCACACGATTTGTACATTTGGCTAAAAATTTGTCAAATTCATAGACAAATCATATGAACGCTAAATTACATTTGTCATTTATCAGAAAAGCCAAATATTTGCCTTCTTGTGGCAAATGAAAAACAACCCTGGTGGCCAAATCGTGTGAACGCAATGCTGCTACATAAGCCAAATAAAAATTACGCAAATGACCAAATATCTGATTTGCCACTTGATGACAAATGCCAGTGACAAATATACAAATATTGTTGAGCGGTATTGCCATTTCGTGCTTGTGAACCTTTGTATTTTCCAATTTTGGTAAAATTTTATTATTTAATATAATATTCGTATCCGAAAAGTACCGAAAAATATCACGTTATTTGAAAACAATAATTTTAAAATATTTGCTCAAACTGAAACATGTACATATACGTATTCGACAGTAGCTGAGTGTGCAGAGAAGCGTGCGACTATTTGTAACCTTCATGAGGTCCCAGGTTCTTATGCCGACAGACGAACATATTAAAAGTATAATTAATTTCTGAGTATAATTAACTATGAAAAAGCATATTTGAAGTTCAGAATGAAAAAATTCAGAAATCCAACCGGAAAAGTATTCGCTTCACAACCCTTCGTGGCACTTTACTATTCACCTTTCTTTCAGTTTTCGGATCTCTTTCCGCAGTTTTTGCTGGCTATACATATATGTATACATACATGCATATCGTCGTATAAAGTACAAAACCGCGTATCGTCACTCTGCAAAATCGCGTAACTGACATTGGCTGCCAAAAATTGAATTTGCTCACACAAACTCTTGGCTTAATCCTTATCCATTCGTCCTGAAATATACTATCCAGAAATGCGATTGCTTTATAAAAAAGAGAACCATTTTGAAATATGAGTGTTTTTACTATCTAGACAATAATTTATGCAACCTCACATAGGCAGCTTTGCATTTTGTTGATACGCGGTTTTGTACTTTAAACGGCGATATACAGATTATTAAAGACGATCTAATTTACACTGTGTGACAAAAAAAAATGTATATAGTTTTTTCGATGTTCACACTTGTTGAAGGTCTATTCAAGCAGTAAAATCTGCATACTCAGAATTTCAAAAACCGCGTTTTTCAAAGGGTGACGCACAGGTATACTTGCTCGTAACTTTTTTTCTGTTTACCCGGTGAAAAATACGTATTTATGTATGTGATTCAAGATAAGACATTTCGCTGCTTACAACAATGTTTAAATTGATAATTTATCTTAAGAAATGGCAAAGGAATCAGTGATCGGACTTAAAAAAAATTTGTGTGGTAGAATCTAAAAAAAATGTGGTAGATTTCAAAAAAATGTGGTAGATTTCAAAAAATCTGGTAGATCTGGTTTCTCCTAAATTGCAAACATTTTAATTAGAGTCTAAAACAAAATTAATTTTAGTATAATAAAGTGCCAGATTGAAGTTGATAAAAATTGCGTAGGTTTTGGCAATTTTTTTCCTTTACAGTTTCGAACATATTTTGAAAGATTTCTGCAACCTTGCAGAGCGCTGCCAGCTTTTCTTTTTATCACATCACGATGTAGCGAACAAATGTGGCTCGTTCCAAAAATGCTGCTTGGGATTTGCCGATTTTGACAATTCTCAAGTAAAAGTAAACAACGCTTTAGAAATTTGAGATGCACTGAAATTTGCTAATGCTTTCACAAAATAGCCGGTTTTTATCATTTTCGCTATTAATTCTTTTTATAAATCATATGTTTTGCAATTTAACACAATAAAACCATGTTTGATGTCGAAAAATTGAATATTGAGAAAATTTACTATTTCACAGTTTATTTTATCCTCCCATTCTGCCTGTTGTTAGTGTTTAGTGTTGGACAATTTTTGCTCTTAAAATTAAGAAAATTATGTTGAGCAAAAATAAAACTACTCAAAAACGCGAATATGTGGTAGATTTCAGACCTTGTGTGGTAGGTGGCAGATCTACAACAATGTGGTAGAAGTCCGATCACTGAAAGGAATCTTACAGAGTATATCGATGGCTGAGTGGAAGATCGATCCATCTCGGCAACCAGTTCGAAAACGCCCTATCTCAGAAAATTTTTTAACAACGCGCTATCTCAGACAACTTTTCAAGAACGCCCTACTTCAGAATTTCATTGAAAAACGGCCTATCTCAGCTGCCGATTCAAAAACGCCCTATATCAGCTTATTTTCAATGTATTTTCGTTTGAGATAGGGCGTTTTTGAAATGAATTCTGAGATAGGGCGTTATTCAACCAAATTCTGAAATAGGGCGTTTTTCAATCAAACTTTGAAGTAGGGCGTTCTTGAAAAATTTTCAGAGACAGGGCGTTTTTGAACTGGCTTCGAGATAGGTCGATCTTCCACTCAGCCATCGATATGCAAAATTTTAATTTTTAACATTTTTTCATTTTGTTAACTAGTATACATACATAGGGTGCCCATTCTCAAGATAAATTAACCATTTATAAATGGTTGTAAACAACGAAATGTTTTCTCTTAAATGGCAGATGTAAGTATTTTTCATCGGGCAAACAGAAATAAAGTTACGAGCAAGTATATGCTTCAACCTATGAAAAATGCGTTTTTTAGCCCAGATTTTGAGGGTGTATTTAAAATTCTGAGTACCTGTGCGTATATATTATTTTTGTTTATTTCACTTCAAATCTCACGAAATCATAAATGCAAAAGTATGGTTGACACCGGATCAGCTGTTTAAGTATTTATGACCAAATGGTTAAATCGTGTGAATGAATTTGGACAATATTTGTCACTTTACTGCTGTGCGCAAATGTGTGCCAAATCGTCTGGTCGCAAAACAAATCATTTGTACATTGCTATCCAAATGCGCAAATGTGGACAAATCTAAATTCGGCATTTTGTGTACAAATGTACAAATCGTGTGATCCCTGCTTAAGAATGTAACTTCTGGCCGGAGAAAATTGCATTTATTTGGGTTGAGTTTTAAGTTGAAAGCTCTGCATGTATTGAAAACTTTTTATAAATTTTTTATGTGGTGTGCCTCGCTACAACCAATTACGATTATATCGTCGACGTAAAGAAATGCCACATTGGGCGGAATACCGGAAAAAGCAATTGTCATCATTCGTGAGAATGAGTTTGGTGCTACGTTTAAACCAAACGGTAATACTTTCC